ATTTTACTCCCCCAGGGAGATGCCTACAGATTAAAAGGACAATGCTTGGATGCTTTATTCTTTTTCTACACTTACTAGAGCAAATACTGTGTGTCTGTACAATAAAAATGTACTTCAGTATGGAATTGGGAATTGACAGGGGTGTGTCTGCATGGAAAGTGCTGCTATGGGGTACATGAAGGTAGCTTTTTTTTTTCCCTGATAAGACCTTGGAAGACCATTAGTCATGTATGATAATGAAATGCTCTTTTGTTTTGCAGCGGGCAGGGTATCATCCGTATTTGGGCTGCATTGTTATGGCTCTGGCAGTTCTTCAGCCTGTGATTGCAATCTTCAGACCTCCGCCTTCTAGTCCCAGGTATAAAATCTGCTACAACAAATGTTTTTCAATAAAGTAGTTGTTGATGCGCCATTAGAGAAATGCAGAGGCTGCTGCTGCTAACATGCTTCTGGAAAAGGCTAACTGGTTGTCAAGCTGACCCACTGAGAGAGTTTCAGTATTTCTGATCTAGAAAGAACAAGTATTCATCAAGTTAATTCAGCCCTTCTGACATGCATGCTTGTTTCAGGTCAGCAGTTCAAGAAATTCAAGTTGGGGCAGCCAGGCAGCATTTATAAATCAGCAGTGGTAGCCTATTCATTTATTTTTTTTTTAGATTGAGGGGTGTTTTAAGGCCTCATTTTACAAGGGTGGCAGGGGACAGTAAAAACAGACAGTTAAAGCAGTAGTAAATGTTGAAGAAGAAGAAGAATAAACTCTCCCTGAAAAGTAAAGGCATAATGTTCTAGTATGCATTGTATGCTAGCACATATGTTAGCACATTCCATCTTCACCAGTTGTCCTTCTGGGTTTGCAGGCTCCGGTCACTTGAATGGCTGAGCTGCAATGAAGTCACTCCTGTGCATGCATGGGAGTCACGGCCAGGGCACAGAGCTCTGAAAGAACGGCACACGTATGCTGTTCCTTCAGAGTGCTTGCGCCACTGACGTCACCTGCTGCAGATCACTAGAATATCTCCTAAATGGTGCATGTTTTAGGAGATATTTAAAAATATATTTTATATTAAAAATAGAGTTTACTACAACTTTAAGCCCCATTTTACTGCCCGCTCCTTCAACTACCTACTGAAAGCATAACAATATGCAGCTGGAGGGGGTCCTACACATGTCGCAGCCACTGCAAATTTAAATTGGCATTCTAAAGTTGACAGGCGGCTTGTTAAACTCTCCCAAGATGTCAATGGGTCACAAGTGCAAGCCAGACGCATGTTTTAAGACACAGCATTTCACTACAAAACCCCTCTCTTCAACTGAAAAGAAAAAGTTTGAGGAGGCAACAGTATTGCCTCTTGAATACCTGGAAACCACTGCTCTACCACCCTCTAAACAGCGATCCACCATGGTTCACTTTTCTGAGGGGCGGTGGAAACTGCAAGGCCATAAAAATGTTAAGGCATAATATTATATTTTAACCACTAGCCTACAGGGCACTTATACCCCTTCCTACCCAGGCCAATTTCCAGCTTTCAGCGCTGTCACATTTTGAATGATAATTGTGCGGTCATGCAACATTGTACCCATATGAAATTTTTATCATTTTTTTGAGACAGATAGAGCTTTCTTTTGGTGCTATTTAATTACCTCTGGGATTTTTATTTTTTCTTAAACAATCCAAAAACCACTGAAAATTTTGAAAAAAAAAGTTTTTTCTTAGTTTTTGTTATACAGTTTTGTAAATAAGTGATTTTTCTCCTTCACTGATGTGCGCTAATGAGGCTGCAGTGATGGGCACTGATAGGCTGCACTGATGGACACTGGTGGGCACTGATGAGGAGGCACTGGTAGGTTGCACTGATGGGCACTGACAGGCATCACTGATGGGCACTGATACATGACACTGATATATGGCACTGATAGGTGGCACTGATAGGCGGCACTGACTGGCACTGATAGGCCACACTGACTGACACTGATAGTTGGAACTGATTGGCAGCACTGATAGGTGGCACTGATTGGCATTGATAGGTGGCACTGACTGGCACTGATGGGTGACATTGAAAGGCAGCTCAGATGGGCACTGATATGTGGCATTGATGTGCACTGGTATGCATTGATATGTGGCATTGATGTGGCACTGATGGGCACGGCACGTGGCACTGATGAGCACTGAAAGGTGGCACTTCTGGGGCCACACTGATCATCAGGGCACACTGATCATGAGTGCCCTGATGATCAGTGTACGTGTCCCCTCCGCGGAAAGCCGATTATTGGCTCCTCTCTCCTCTCGAGCTGTCAGCGTGACAGCTCGAGAGGAGAAAAATGCCGATAACCGGCATTTCCGTGTTTACATGTGATCAGCTGTGATTGGACACAGCTGATCACATGACCGAACTGACATCTTTGGTTCTTTCCGTGATCCGCTGTGTCCGAGGGACACAGCGGACTGGCGATCGCCGAGCTGCGCGCTCCCTGAGCCGCGCATGCACAGTGAGAATGGTAGGACGTCATATGACGTCCTATCAGAACGAGAGAACCACCTTGCGCCCGTCCTTGTACTATAGGGCAGGCGGAAGGTGGTTAAAGTAATGAGTTGTTTTAACCACTTTACAACTTTAGCCGAACCAGCTGCGTGTTATCTTGTTCTGGGACACAGTCTCCTAGAACACATGAGCACCCGGTGCTATCAGTGATCGCTGTGTCCTACGGACACAGGATCAATGACACAAAAAGGCCAATCACAACGCCCTTTTAATACATGATGAGCTGTGTCCAATGACACAGCAGATCACAAAGTAAATACAGTTGCCAGTTATCGATAGCACTTTCCTCACACTGTCACAGCTCAAGGAAAGTACTGCCGATAATCAGCAAATATCACAGAGGACACCCGCACTGATAATCGGGGAACTGATTACCAGTGCCCTGATAATCAATGCCGCTCAGTAGTGCCACCCATCAGTGCATCAGTGCTGCCTGTCAGTACCCTTCATTGCTGCATATTAGTGCAGCATCATCAGTGCCTCCTCATCAATGCCCACCAGTGCTGCCTCATCAGTGGAGCCTATCAGTGCCCATCAGTGTTCCCTATCCGTGTCACCTCATCAGTGCCCATCAGTGCTGCCTATCAGTTCCCATCTGTGCTGCCTATCAGTGCCTCCTCATCAATGCCCACTAGTGCTGTCTCATCAGTACAGCCTATCAGTGCCCATCAGTTTTGCCTATCCGTGCCGCCTCATCAGTGCTGTCTATCAGTGCAGCCTCATCAACGCACATCAGTGAAGGAGAAAAATTACCTGTTTGCAAAATTTTATAATAGAAACAAAGAAAAGCTTTTATTTTTCAAATTTTTTGCTCTTTTTTTTTTGTTTATAGTGCAAAAAATAAAAACAGCTCTATTTGTGTGAAAAAATGTCATATGGGTACAATGTTGCATTATCGTGCAATTGCCATTCAAAGTGCAGCAGCACTGAAAGCTGAAAATTTTCTGGTCACCAAGGGGGTAAAAGTGCCCGGTAGGCAAGTGGTTAAAATGCAAAGTGCACTATTGTATTCATTTTCACCAATCCAATGTGGGTACTGTAGTAAAAGCAGAAGCAAGATGAAATCTGATAACAGATTAGTGAAGTAATCAATAATAGTATCTGTAACAGGTCAGCTTTAAATGGGGAATTATTTATTGATTTTACCTGGTTTACCTAATGAGACACATTTTTGAGCTTTTAATCCTCAATTGAGAAGGAGAACACAAAGTTCTAGGTTTGCAGGGGTTATTTCAGTACAGTGTTGAAATGCAAGATTTACCAGCCTTCTGGCTATTTGTTGCACACCTTTGTCTTAGTCCCAGCTTCTCTGCTGGGGACTGGCTGTCTCAGCCTCTGATTCAGACCCAAAATGGTTCACACCCAAACCACCTCTGTTTCTCCACAGTTGTGCAGCTCAGACAACAATCTGTTATGGCTTCTCCTGTCTGTTTCACAGCTGACTTGCCTCTCTGCTATATGTGACTTTCCCGGCATCATTTACCCCATTTACACTCTGACGCTCCTGTCGCAGTATGTGTACAGCTTTCTTTATGCCTCTTCTTGGTTTTGAAGCATCTTTTGTGCTCTAACCTCAGCGTCATCTGTTCACAGCTGGCAAGCAGCACAAGTTGAATGTTTTATGGCATAAGGCGATAAAGTTGATCCCAAACTGAAAATAACAGGTCTTCAAAGTACCAAGTCTGTATTTTGTAGAAAGTACAGCGTAATACCTGCTGTTGCCTTTTTTCAGTACTGCTTGAATCAAAATAAACTATTACCAAAAAGGTATAATTGTGTACAGTCCAGGGGCAGACTGACCATTTGGGAACTCGGGCTCTGCCCGGGGGCCTGGGGTCAGTAGGAGGCCCCATGAGGTGCCCCTGGTACTTTTTTGGGTGTGATTTGAGTGTGGGTGAGGACACAGGGGCCCCATGATCTCTTGTTGCCCGGGGGCCCCATGAGTTGTCAGTGCACCCCTGGTACAGTCCTTCTTGCCTGCCACTCTGCAGTACATTGTGCCCCAGTAGAGGGTATGTAGGCTTCATGCAAATACAGATTTTTAGAATCTCATGTCTAGGTCAGGCATATTCCTGTCTACTTATCATTCTGAGTGGGACAGTTGTTTAGACAGATTTGAAATCCTCCTTTTTTTTTAGGCTCTGTTTGCATATGGGCATTTTTGAATCACAGGTAGAATTACCATGATTTGTCCCGGGATTTCAAAAAACTCTAAATTTGTGTTTTGCGATTTGTCATTTTAGCATTTTAAAGTGCTATTCATTTTAATGGTACCTAAAAACGCGCTGCAGTTCTGCTGTAATTGTGTGATTCAAAACTCCCATATGTAAGCAGAGCCTAAGTAAGCCAGTAATGTCTGGTTACTGGTTGGTCTGGTTACATACAACTGTTCAACTACAGTATATTCATTTCCTATATATTTTCAAATTTTACAAAATGTTTTTTTTTTGATATAGGAGATCTATTTTCAACTGGACACACTGGGGAGGAGGCACAGCTGCCAGAATTATAGCAGGTATGCCATATTATATATGGTTTATACTCTTCACCTTCCACGGCATTGATGGCATTTCAGCATGTGTTGTAGGACAGATGCTGCTTACTGTCAGGTGCATTCAGCCTGCATTTGACATCAGTTTGAGACGCTTCTGAGGTCATTGACAGTTGGCCTTCTTTAGACCTGCAGTTGATCTTCTATGCTGCGGCAACCTGCCTCAAACTGCTTTTTGCAATACCATTGACTTGTATGAGGAGAGCAGCAGTTCTGGCACAAACAAAAGCCCCTAGACACAGGCCATAAGGTTCACCACTGATGTTACAGTGGAAGAGTTGGTGGGTCAGATTTGTACAGACAATCGTGCCACCTAAATATTTAGTTTTGTTTTTTTTTTTAACGGGATTTTCTTAAACATACCTGCTTAAGTTTGACTGAGCAAGCATATATTAAACATGTACAAGCATTATATTATTTCTGTATATATTTTCTTCATTTAGTACAAAATAGATTTTTTTCCATTGAGTAGATAATGACATCTTGAAAATGTAATATATTTGTTATTACCTTTTCCAACTACCAGATGGGGCTGGGGGCTCTGTTTTCATGATTACCAGCTTAACTTAGGCTATGTTCACACTAGCTCTGTCAGCAGGTGTCAGACAGGCGTTTGGGAAGTGTTTTTAACGCTTCTCAAACGCCTCTGAAAATTCTGCACAGGGCAGCACACAGTGCTGTTCACACGGAAGCGTTAGCGTCACGGCAAAACGGACACCTCTGATCGAGTCAGGAGGAGTTGAAGCCTCCCATTCAAGTCTATGGTGCCGCTCCGCAAACGCCTGGCCAGAGTTTTTGGTGCAGTTGTTTGCGAGACGTTTGTGGAGCATTAACACCATTTAAACTTCATTATAGGCGTTTCTCAAGCGTTAAAACCGCACCACAAACACCTACCAACCGCCGCAAAACCGCGCATAGGGCGTTTTTGGAGCGTTTGCGGAGCGTTAAAAACGCTTGTCAAATTCTATAGGGGCATTTGGCAAGAGTTAGAAATAAAGTCAAGTGTGAACGTGCCCTTAAAGCTGAATTTCCCCTTTTGGGTGAAGCTCCACTTTAAGGCCCCCCTCCCCCACGCTAGAAGATTTGGCACTTTTTTTTGTGGGGGGAGCAGATAACTGGTTTTGACAGGTACGCACTGCCATTTCCGCTCCGACCGCCAAGGCGATCAGAGCGGAAGTTCTCATCCCCCTCAACCACCCCTCCCTCCCTGCAGTCATCTGGGACATGTGACCGGTCCCAAAAGACTGTGGGACCATTCAAAATGCGCAGTGCAGCATGCGCAGTGAAGCTGCAAACTGTCATAGCCGGGTGCCCACAGTTAATATACTGGTGCCTGGAACCAAGAGGGGTGGAGAACTGCCCTGGTGAGCACCTCCTTGGATCCTGGGACAGGTGAGTGGATGTTTATTAAAAGTCAGCAGCTACAGTTTTTGTGGCAGCTGATTTAACTGACTGGAGCTCTGTTTTGACTGATCTATTGGAGAAAAAAAAAGTTTGCTTACAAGCCTTAGTGTTACTAACCCAGGACCCTGCATTCACTATATCTGATCTCCCACATTACACACAACATGGAAATGCAATTATTTTAGTAAATATAAAGTGCAAAATGCCTTTTCTCATCAGCAGTTAGAGCAATCTTTTTTGACTTCTAACAGTGTCCAGCAGAACACTGGTTAACACTTGTAGGAGGAGTTTTCATTCTCCCCTGATTGTCCTATGAGGCTGCAGTACCCCTGACCCTCTATCTGGACAGCATTGATTGGCCCAGTACTGATCACAGGCACTCTCCAAGAAAAAGAAAAAACTCTAGCAATACACCCCAAACCAAGCATGTGTAGCATGCCCCCAAGGCTCTGTTCTATCAGCAGATGCAGAGGATTAATTCCTTAGGTTCCACAGTGAGTATAACAAGCATGCTTTACTACATATACAGAGTGATATTTACTGTTGAGGGTTTAGTAACCCTTTAAAGTTGAACTTTGGAGAAACAAAAAATTGATGTTTGCTATTTAAAAAAATCGCTAATGGTAGGTTCATCCAACCTGTACATTGCGCTGAAATTACGATACTGAATGTCACAGTCCCGTGTACAGAGTTTCATATGGAAAGCAAACAAAACTTGCATAGCAAATTGCAGCCCCAATATATATCCATGATAGGGGTCTGCTCCACAGCAGGGACAAGAAGTAGGTGGCATACAGAGAGGAACAGAAGTATTTGAACACCCTGCAATTTTGCAAGTTCTCCCACTTAGAAATCATGGAAGGGTCTGAAATTCACATTGTAGGTGCATTCCCACTCTGAGAGACAGAATTTAAAAAAAAAATTAAGGAAATCACATTGTATGATTTTTAAAGAATTTATTTGTCTTGCACTGCTGAACATAAGTATTTGAACACCTGAGAAAATCAGTGTTAATATTTGGTACAGAAGCCTTTGTTTGCAATTACAGAGGTCAAACGTTTCCTGTAGTTCTTGACCAGGTTTGCACACACCGCAACAGGGATTTTGGCCCACTCCTCCACACAGATCTCCTCTAGACGGGGGCCGGTACTCAGATCTGTCATCGGCCGTGTCCGAGGTACCGCGTGAACTGCGCATGTGCGGGAGGACGCGCATATGGTGTACACCCCGGAAAGCTAAACCATTTTTGCGGCCGCCAAACGGCTATAGGCCGGGCGGCTAATGGTTAAACAACATGTGTTCAGAATTGTGGTGTCACTGTGTAATGACGATCTTTATAGAAAAAATAGTTTAGGGAATCTAAACTTTTAATATGCATTTGATTTTCATTGAAAAAAAGTATATTTTTTTCCTTTTTATTGTAGTGGCTGCAATCTTCTTGGGTATGGACTTGCAGGCTCTGGATCTCCCAGATCCTTGGGACACCTACACCATGGTTGGCTTTGTTCTATGGCATGTCTGCATAGACATCTTGCTGGAGCTGCACAGTTTCTGTCACCTGCGCCATGGTGAGTTTTGTTGACAGCAGTCTCTTCTGACTATTACGATCACAGAACCTGTTTTTTAAGCTAGAAGAACGAATGAATGGAAAATAAATATATATATATATATATATATAAAATTTATAGTTTTAAGTAGGTGTGAAGAAATGCTGTAAAAAATTATTTTTAAAAATTATATATATATATTATACATATTTCATTTTTTTTTTTATTTTTATCAATTGACAAAATGCAAAGTGACAAACAGAAGAAAAATCTAAATATAATTATTTGGTTGTGACTACCCTTTGACTTCAAACCAGCATCAATTCTTACACTTGCGCACTCTGTACACTTGCACAGCTAGGGATTTTGTAGGATTAGAGTCAGGAGTATGATTAACCAGTTACAAAAAGCAGGTGCTAATGATCAATTTTATGTGTAGGTTGAAATGCAGTCGTTAACAGAAAACAGCTCTGTAGGAAGCTTAAAACTGGGTGAGGAACAGCCAGACTCTGCAACCAAGATGAGGTTGTGGAAGGCAGTTTCATATTACAGGTCATACACCATGGCAAGACTGAGCACAGCAACAAGACACAATCGGCAAGGTCTCTCCAAGGCAAAGATTTCAAAGCAGACTTGGGTTTCAAGGTGTGCTGTTCAAGCTCTTTTAAAGAGCCACAAAGAAATCGGCAATAAAGAGGACCTTAGACACAGTGGTCGGTTAGAAAACTTAGTGTAGCAGCTTAAAGACACATTGTACTTCCTTGCAACATCGGAAGATGGCCAACAATCAGCACAGAACTGGTGGAAACCAGTGGAACCCAGGTACAACCATCCACTGTCTGGAGAAGTCTGACCATAAGTATCCTTCATGAAAGAATTGCCGCCAAAAAGCCATTCGATGTGCAAACAGGCTAAGCAACTCAACTATGCATAAAAACCTAGGAACTGGGGGTGCAGAAAAAAAGGCATCAGGTGCTCTGGATTGATGAGTTACAATTTTAAATACATGGCTGTAGCAGGAGGCAGTTTGTCCAGTGAAGGGCAGGAGAGCGGTACAATGAGTGTCTGCAGGTAAAAGTGAAACATGGTGGAGGTTCCTTGCAAGTTTGGAGCTGCATTTCTGCAAATGGTATTGGAGATTTCATCAGGATCAATGGTATCCTCAATGCTGAGAGATATAGACAGATACTTATCCATCATGCCATGTGTGATTGGCCCCAAATGTATTCTGCAGCAGGACAGCCACCCCAAACACAAAGCCAATGTCATTAAGAACTACAGTATAAAGAAGGACCAAGAGCCCTCAAAGTAATGGTTTGGCCTCACAATGATCTTCGCATCATTGAGTCTTTCTGTGATTAAATGAAGAGACAGAATGATTGGAGGCAGCCTACATCCACAGATGGTCTGTGATTAGTTCTCCAAGATGTTTGGAACAACCTGCCTGCTGAGTTTCTTCTTCAAAAACTGTGTGCAAGTGTACCTGGCAGAATTGATTCTGTTCTGAAGGCACAGGATGGTCACATCAAACAATGATTTGATTAGGATTATTTCCCCTCTGTTAATTTACTTTCCATTTTGTTCATGGATAAAATAAACTATTTATTTCTGATAACCTTTTTATTTTACAGCATTTTTTTTCACACCTGCCTAAAACATTTGCACAGTAGTGTATATGTAGTATATTTGCACAGTAGTGTAGCGGCTAGACTCATCCACCTCACCACCCGCTCCACCTCTGCCACCCCCCTCTGCCTCTCCCTCCACTGGCTCCCTATCGCCCAACGCATCAAATTCAAACTACTCACTCTGACCTACAAAGCCATTCACAACACTGCCCCTAACTACCTCACCGACCTGATTCCCAAGTACCACCCTACCCGTACCCTTCGCTCTTCACAGGACCTCCTTCTATCTTGCTCCCTGGTCTCCTCCTCACACGCACGTCTGCAAGACTTCTCCAGGTCCTCCCCCATCCTCTGGAACTCACTACCCCAATCCATCAGACTGTCACCTTCCCTCCTCACCTTCAGGCGCTCCCTGAAAACCCACCTCTTCAGGGAAGCCTACCCCACCCTCACCTAACTGCTGCTCTCCTTCATTCCTCCTACCACTCCATCCCCCACAGCCACTTCCTCCTGTACCACTACCCCCTCCCTCCCAGATTGTAAGCTCGAAAGAGTAGGGCCCTCTTACCCCTCGTGTGCTGTTCGTAGTTGCTGTAATGTTTCATGTATTGTCCCCCCCTCTATTGTACAGCGCTGAGCAAACCCTTTGGCGCTATATAAACTCAATGTAATGTAATGTAATGTAATGTAATGTATATATTTTATTCTTAACTTTTCTAAACCTATGTTTAGCTAAGCTTTATAGAATTATTCCAGACCTGTAAATTTGTTCCCCTGGCTTTAGTACAAAATAAGACAAACCTCTGGTATGGATCTTGTGACCTTTTTTGGACAACACAACCATCTCCTGACTTCACTGTGACTGATGTCTAGAATAGCTACACCTGTCATAATTGCTGCACTGTAATAGCTGTCTTAGTTGCCTTGCATGTGAATGAAATACTTTTTGTGTTAATGTAGTCTGCGGATTAATGACCTATCTTACACAAGTCAATCATATTTATTATTTTAAAATACTTTTATATTTTTGTGAATATACACAAATGTTTTACTTTTTCTGCTTCTCACAGAATCTGGAAAAGCAGATGATCAGACTCTGATGCTAAATCCTTCCTTTAATGGGGAAGAGGTAAGTCTCTTGCTGAAAGTCATAAATGCGTTCAACACCTGTAGACCTTTTGTAAATGTTTCTTTTGTAAAAAGCCTGCATATTCCTCCCTAGCAATTGGCTGAAATTACAGGTGTACCTCAGTTTACAAACGCCTCGGTTAATGTAATTTTCAGTTTGCAAATGAATATACATTGAAAATAATGCTTCTGTTTACAAATTTTTTTCGCAATACAAAGTGTATGTCGGTACCGATTTATAAATGCAATTGCCAGCTTTTTTTTTCTTCACTATAGCTCACAGGATTAGCTGTCACTTCCCCCAGAGTTAAAGGAAGCTTTGTTTATTTTAAGAAACTAAAAGGAAGCATTGTTTCTTTTGATTTGGGGAAATAAACTAAAAGGACACTTTCTATCTTTTAACTGGGGGGAAAGTGACAGCTGAATCTCTGAGCTATAGTTTAACCGCCTCCAGCCCGCCCGCCATATAGTGTAATGACGGGCGCAAGGCGGTTCTCTCATTCTGGGAGGACGTCATATGACTTTGTCCCATTCTAACCACGCATGCGCAGCTCCAGGGGCACGCAGCTTGCTGATTGGTGGTGCGCTGTGTCCCTCGGACACAGCGGATCACCGATCAACGGAAAGAGCCAAAGATGTCGGCTTGGTCATGTGATCAGCTGTGTCCAATCACAGCTGATCACATGTAAATAGGGAAACGCCAGTTATCTGCATTTCTCTCCTCACGAGCTGTCACGCTGACAGCTCGAGAGGAGAGCACAGCCGGTAATCGGCATCCCTCAGAGGGGACATGTGCACTGATCATCAGGGCACTGATGATCAGTGTGCCCTGATGATCTGTGTAGCCCCAGCAGTGCCACCTGTCAGTGTCCATCAGTGCCAGTTGTCAGTGCTCATCCATGCCACCTGCCAGTGCCCATCAGTGGCACATCAATGCCACATATCAATGCCTACCAGTGCACATCAATGCCACATATCCATGCCCATCTGAGCTGCCTTTCAGTGTCACCCATCAGTGCCAGTCTGTGCCACCTATCAGTGCTTCCAATCAGTGCCTCCTATCGGTGCCAGTCAGTGCCGCCTATCAGTGTGCATCAGTGCCCGTCTGTGCCACCTAACAGTGCCAGTCAGTGCCATATATGAGTGCTGCCTTTTGTGCCCATCAGTGATGCTTGTCAATGCTCATCAGTGCCACCTATCAGTGCCCATCACTGCAGCCTCATTAGCGCAAATCAGTGAAGGAGAAAAATCAAATTATATAACAAAAACTAAGAAAAAACTTTTTTTTGTTCAACATTTTCAGTGGTTTATGGTTTGTTTAGGAAAAAATAAAAAAACCAGAGGTGATTAAATACCACCAAAATAAAGCTCTATCTGTCACAAAAAAATGACAAAAAAAATCATATGGGTACAGTGTTGTATGACCGCGCAATTGTCATTCAAAGTGTGACAGCGCTGAAAGCTGGAAATTGGCCTGGGCAGGAAGGGGGCATAAGTGCCCTGTAGCAAGTGGTTAACAATCAGCACCATAATAAATTAAAAAAATGGCGTGGTGAAAATGTTCCAGTGGGGACACTAGTTCTGGTGACCTGGGTGTCTCCCAAGGAATTTCCATAATTTGCAGGGATTTCCTTTTACTTCCTGTTTGGCTATGGGACAGGAAGTGAAGGTAAATCTCCTCAATGGAACACAGATAACAAAAAAAAAATCTGATAGGGGTTATAACCCTCCTTTACTCTATCCAAAATGGGGGGAAAAAAGCTTTGCCTATTGTTCTACTTTAATTCAGATTGTCATTCTTCAAACTTGGGTTAAAAAGCGAAGAAAAAAAGTTAAAGGTTCATTGTTTGCTGTAGAATAGCTCAGACAGTTTTCAAGTGGCCCCTTTGAGGTAGGCTGTCCTTTGCATGCGAAGTACCTGTGCAGGCAAACAGCGGTGCCATTAAGTCTTAATGGCACCCCAATACACCTTGCTAACACATGAGCCAAAATGAATGGTAACAAAACTATGCATTTTGGTGCATTTTCATTTGTAGAGCTTTAATCCCAGTTCCAGACAAAACTTACTTTGTTTGAAATATCATGTAATCAGGGTTTCCTAACCAGGGTTCTCTGGAACCCTAGGGTTCCTCCAGAGGTTGCTTGGGGTTCCTTGAGCAATGAGCAATTTCTTCCTCTCAGATAAGTTCCCACTTATACCATTGATCTTTTTAGCTATCTGTAAGGGGGTAATGGGTGGAACAGTGGCTTAGTGGTTAGCACTTCTGCCTTGTAGTATTTGGGTCATGGGTTCGATTCCTGACCATGGCACCTCCTGCATAGAGTTTGCATGTTCTTCTTGTGTTTGTGTGGGTTTCCTCCCACACTCCAAAGACATGCTGGTAGGTTAATTGGCTCCTGTCTAATATTGTCCTAGTTTCATCCATGGCCATGTGGGATCTCCTGCATGGTAGGGGTTGGGGAAAGACCTGGCAACCTACCCTGTAAAAATAGTTGGGGAAAGACCTGGCAACCTACCCTGTAAAAATAGTTGGGGAAAGACCTGGCAACCTACCCTGTAAAAATAGTTGGGGAAAGACCTGGCAACCTACCCTGTAAAAATAATTGCTAAGAGAATTCATGGAAAAAGTCGCTTACGAGTGATGGTCCATGCAATCAGCAAGGGTTGGATACAACTGAATGGATAGATAGAAGGGGGTAATTCTTCCCAATGATCACAGGTGTAAGGGGCATTCTTCTCACTGACCATCAAACTGATGAATCATGAGTTGTACATATAGTGATTTTTAGCTGGGGTTCCCTGAGAAATGTATTTCAAGTGTTCCTCTGTGTTGAAAAGGCTGAGAAATGCTGATGTAAAGAGTTAAAGCCCCCGCTGGGTTTTATTGCTGGAAGGACAGGAAGATATGTGAAATCTCTCTAAAGTTGGGAAGGTTTAGAATTCCTGACAAAACTTTATTGCTGTTTGTCTTCCTGTCTTTGTCACAATTTTAACTCGCACTATCCAAAACATAAACGCTTTGACTGGAGCTTGGTTGAGTTCAGTCTGTTCTCCCATTTTGTGATCAGCATCACTCTTGGACTTTATTATGAGGTTTCCTGCTTAGACTTCACCACTTGTAACTCACATACTCTGCAGCAGAGGGCACTGCTGTCTCTTCTTGTGTTGGGTGTCCTGATTGATCCCTCTTATGCCTGACTGTTGTTTTTGTATTGCCAGGGACACACCTTTAAGAAGATTGTGCTGACAATATACATCTGCGGAAACTTTGCCTTTTTGATAACATTCCTGGCTGCAATCTACCAACTTTGACCACATTCAGGAAATCGTGCCTTTATTGCTGCTGTAACTGTGCAAACCTGCTTAGCGTCTGCCTGCGTGTCATACAGATCTAGACAGATGATGATGCTGTGGTCAGGATGGCTCCAAGCTGCCGTTTAATACATTTGTAATGCACTTCAATTCTTCAATTGACTGTTTAACCAAGTCATGAAGTGCCTTTTAAAAAGTGAAAATCATGCATTGGTCATTATGTTTTTCTTGGGTAAGGTATGCTGTTCAGGTGGTTTTCAGTGAATAGAATCTTATCTGTTCATATGAATTCTGAATATTTGTAGTTTGCCAACAGCAAAAGAGATCCTGTTTCCAAGCAAACAGAAGTTGAAAGGAACCACTAGCTGAGAGAGATATGTAGACTGTGGGGGTTATTTACTAAAACTGGAGAGTGCAAAATCTGTTGCAACTTTGCATAGAAACCAATCACCTTACAGGTTTTATTGTCAAAGCTTAATTGAACAAACTGACGTTAGAATATGATGATTGGCTAACAAGCACAGCTGCACCAGATTCAGAGAGCACCAGTTTTAGTAAATCTCCCCGTCATCACTGAACTCCTTAAAATTCTAGTTGCCTGGCTGGCTTGGGGCTTCACAACTTGAGTTGGACTCCCAAAACAAGCATGTGGAAAGTCAAATTGTAGATCCCTATCTGCTTACTTTATCCTGGTTCAGAAGTATTGAAGCCATTAGATAAATATAACTTTCAGGACAGTTGAGCTGTGGTTTCCTCCATAGAACCCCCACCTGTTACATTTTAATTTTCATAATCATTGTACCATTTATTTGGAAGTACCTATTTGACAACATAATACATATTTGCCAGTCTGATAAAAGCGAATACCTAACTGCTATGAGTTATATTACATAGGTACTTTCAGGCCCATTAACACCTTTTGTGTTGCACGTGCATGAGCCCCACACATGTATGAGCACTGTGCAACAGATCGACCATAAAATCAGCCATGCACTGTTTTTTATTTTTCCTTTTCTTTTTTTTCTGATGCAGCACACAGCAGTGCATAGTAATGTGTTGTGGTACGTTGCAATGCATAAGCTATGAAAGTGCGTTGGTTTATTCATTGACAATGAATGACACTGCAACTTGTGTTGTTGCTGTGAAGTACGGTAACTAGTGCATTTCTACAGCACACCACACTAAATGCTGTGACTAGGCTGTTAGTCTTGACAGCTAGTGCTGCATATTGTCATTTGACTTGTAAGATGTCAGTCTGAATAGTCTAGTCAGGTGTTTCTTATCCTAACATTCATCCATTCATACAGTTGATAGCCAGCTGCTATATTTTTCCCCAATTTGTCACCAATGTGGTTAGGTCTACTTGGGGATGGGGGGAGTCCTAGAGTGGCACTTCTGGCAACTCAACTTGTATTGTTCAGGCACTACAGTATCAAAAGATCTCCCATTAGGTAGCTCAATGAGGAAATCATGCTGGGTGATGGATTCTTTTCAATGTAATATTAAAGAAAATGATGTGTGAAAAAGGTGACACTTGAATATCTGAAGGGTATCCATCAAGCTGTTCTTTTCCACCCAAAGCTAAAATGTTGCTGGGAAACAATTATGTTGCTGGGAAACAAACCCCCATTTTTTAATTTATTTATTTTTACCCCTGCTTACTGGGTTGTGGGTTGTCCTCAATCCTGATACTCATCCATCCAACAGACACAGAATTGTCCTGCTGAGATCCTCTCCTCTGCTTTCTTCGCTCGGATCCTGCACTGCCATGTTCTTGCGAGACATCATCAGCAGGCTGACGCTTTTTGTGGCCTTAGCATGTGGGCCTTCCTATAACTCACCGCTAGTCACACCCCCTCTTCTTTTCGTGAATGAAAGACAGTGCCTTCTTGGATATTTGACGCGCATATCCATGGAGGCACAGTGCATGTCATTCACCTACATATTTGGTGCAGTTAAACCTATACTATAGTCCCTCTGTCTTGGCCTGCAGCCCCCCTGCCAGTCTTACACTTCCCTTCCCCCAATCCAGCAGAATATTGCTCATTAGATCACACAACCACTTGTCCAAATGGTTCTGGTTGGGTTGGCACATGTGTCCGGCACTCCCATTCAATCCTTTGACACAGGTGTGGGTCTGTTAGGAACTTTTTGACAGGCAACTGTGTGCTTTAGTCAGTAATGTATATCTCTCGATCCAGGACAGAAAGGGTGATTATAATGTAAGTATAACTGCATCCAAGATATGCAGTTTTACTTTAAAGCTACCCTTTAATGGATATTTTAGACCAGGGTGGGCAAACTAATATGGAATTCAGGAAGTGTAAGTGTGTCCAATCCAGGAGCCAGCACCATTTTTTTTAGGAGCAAACTTTATTGACCACAAGTAGAGAGAACCTCCAAAAGTTAGGTGCCCGCTGTAATTTGTAAAGAGTGTTGGATACCTGGCTCCTGATAATTGTCCAGCTCTATTTTAGGCTTTATTTGTAAAATTGGTCCGTAGCCTATCAGATGTCCTTTACTCATGAAACCCTTCAAACTATACAGGTGTGTGTCTGTGTATATCTCGTCAAACATTGGCCTATCTGGGTTGGGGCAGGTGTCCTTCTCTATACGTGTGTAGCTTGCTTAACCTTGGAATCCATTTTGATGGTTTACATCTTATGAAACTCAAAAAACAGTATGAAGTATATTGTATAAAACAAATCCGTAATTTAATCCTGCTCATGAAATTGTTTGCTTTACAAAGCAGTTAAAGTGTTACTAAACCCAGGACCCTGCAGTCACTATATCTGGTCTCCCACAGTACATAGAACATGGAAGTGCAATTATTTTAGTAAATATAAACTGCTACGGGATTAACCCCTTAGGTTCCACAGTGAGTATAACAAGCATGTTTTACTGCATATACAGACTGATTTTACTGTTGTGGGTTTAGTAACACTTTAAACTCCTTTATATTCACTGGCACAAGTTGTGTATGAAAATTGTGCTAATAAGCAAACTTCTGGTAGCCCATAGCAATCAGTCAACATTCATTTTTTTTTTTTAACTGAGGAAATGGTAGTTGGTACTGATTTTTGTTGCCTGCAGGCAACAAGAATGTCCATTATCACTTTTTATACAAAAGCCCTAAATTAACTTAAATTGGACTACTGAATTTTTATAGATTTACTGATTTTAATAAAATGCTCAGGAAATATAAAAAATCGTTTAAATAATTTATTTGAAATGTCTTTTTATATTTGTATACAGGTTTGTAGTACTCCAGAGACTACTGGTCTCCCTGACATGTTGTATATGAACTATCAATGCAGGCTGTTAATATTTGTACAAATTTGATATGTAAAATAAAGTTTTACATGTACAAGTGCTCATACCTGTACAGAAATTCAGATTCTATGTGGATTCCTTTTCCTGTTCTTAGACATTTTTAAAGGGGCAAAAGAGGGGTATAGAAGAGCTTTCATTAGATTACTAATCAAGTTTATGCTAGAAGATATATTTTAAACTTTATTTTTTTGTGTTGTGTGTTGTGTGTGTGTGTGTGTTTTTTTGCTGTGTTTTTTTTTTTTTTGCAATAGTTTCTCAAAGTTTATACATATTAGTGCAGTTGTTGATGAGCCCATGAGGGCATTAAAACATTTAAACGCACAGATTCCATATAGCCTTGAAACAAGTTTTTGGTGTGCTTTTGACAGATTTTAAAGCCCCTGGAAAACAAAACAAAAAAAATCTTTATTCTCTTTTCATGGTGCTAGAGGGGCAGGACTAAGCATAAATAAGTCTTGCACTGCTTTTCAGTGGTGGCTGTGAGAAACAACATTTATATCTGAAGCTAAAATTCAAGTAATGGTGATTCCAGCAACAAAGCTGGAAAAATGTCTGTGGTTACATCTAAATATCCACTAGTCAGTCAGTCTCTCTCTCTCTCTCTCTCTCTCTCTCTCTCTCTCTCCCCCCCCCCCCCCCACCCTACACTTTCTTTCTCTCTTGCCATGTTTTTTTTATTTATTATTCTCGTTCGCTTGTCTGCCACTCTTTCCTCCTCTCTCCAATGAAGAGTCTGAATTACTCTCTGCATACTGCTATACACCTTTACTTGTTTTAAGCAAACGTTTGCTAAGATTTTCTTGGTTTGCATATATTGCAATACATGTTCAAGCTGGCCAACTATATTATAGTAACAGAAGCATACATAGCTACAGAATCTGGTCTAGTCACTGACCTGCACTGGGGCGGACTGACCATCTGGAAACTCGGGCACTGCGCGAGGGCCCGGGGTCAGTAGGGGGCCCTATGAGATGCCCCTGGTATCTTTTTCATAGGCTTTTTTGAGTTTGGGCAAGCGCACATGGGCCCCATGATCCCCTATTGCCTGGGGGTCCCATGAGTTGTCCGTCCGCCCCTGGACCTGAACCATACAGAAGAACTGTAGAAATTAATTTGAGCACAAACATTTCTTTAGTTCTGCTGTGTGGCTAGTGAGGGATACTTTGATGTAAAACACCTGTATTGCAATATATGCAAGCAAAGTATCTGTTTTTATGCAAATATTGGCTAGAAATATATAAAGGTATGTATTTGTGTGCAGACAGCTAATTTAGGAAATGTAATGGTGATTCAGAGAAAGTTTGCACATACATGCTCCATTTACCAAATATTTTCAGATTTTTAAATATTTAAGTATGGCTTTCTTGACTCTACCTCTTAAGAGTCACAGGAGTACATTTACTTCTGTTCTCCTGTATCAGTACATTTACTTCTGTTCTCCTATCTCCTAGGGTCAAGAACTAGCAGGGCAGTAGGCTGCTATCAGCTGGCAGGGCAAAGCCATTCCAGGCTCCGGAAGGATCCTGACAATATTATCAGGATCCGCTTGGCTGCCTGACCTGCCTCCTCCCCAGCTTGGCACTTCAGTGAGTGCTGGAGGAGCAGAGTGGTGACTGAGAGTCACTGCTTTCTGCTGCAATCAGACAGCTGAGTGATCAGTTCTTGGT